ATTTTATTATGGTTAATTTCTTTAAATATACATAATTATAAATAGGTTTTAAGTTGAAAACAGTATTATTTGTTTTTGTTTGTTAATGTGTGAAGAAATACTGATATTGATATGTTAACAAATTACTTTATCATTAGAGTTGCATTTCTTGTAAAAAGCTCATAAAACTGATTAATAAAACTTAATAAATAACTATTATTTTGTTTTTAAATTATTTTGTCTATAACGTGGTATAATCGTTCCCTTCTGCTATTATAATCGTCCTGGGGGATATTTATACTATATTTATACTTATATTATACAATAATTATATTATACTATAATATTTATTATACTATATATTTACTATATTAATTACGATTATTGGGACGGTTGTAATAGTATTCTTCATATTCTTTAAACAGAAATAATATTTTTTCTAATTACATTACAGAATTCAACACAGAGAAATTTTGTAGTAAAATAAATTCTCCAAGAATTCTCCAAAGATGCAGGTTTTTATTTACGTAGTTATTAAATTTTAACTGTTGTAAGACCTTAAATTCAAAATGTTACTTTTGTGCCCGGTCTGCCCTACTGGTCCATTTTCACTTCAAATAGAAAACAATTCTCATGTTCCGCCGAAATATATATAAACATATTATTGTCCTTCGTATATAGTCGGCGAGTGAACATCCATACTGAGAATATACAAAGAATTTTTTTTATTTTCGTCGCACACATGCCGAATTTCGCTCATTATTTCTCAAGTCACATCATAGACACTGAATTTCTATTATTAGATATCTTCATTAATCGAATATATCAATATGAGCAACCCGAACAAACAAGTGTTTGAATATCGCGGACCACGTACGGCTGAATGTTACAATCAGTTTTTCAATCCGAACATGTGTCACGTTTGTAAATCGGTAGACAAAGGCAATTTAATATTATGTAATAAATGCCGTTTGATTTCTTACTGCGGCGAGGAGCATAAAGCGAAGCACTACACGGAACACGAGGAGATCTGTATAATTATAAGACGTCTCTCGCGAGTGAATTTACAGAAAGACAAGCGCAGGTTTAGCAACTGGCAACAATGGATTCAATCGAGAGCTGAATTTGTGGAATCAATCCAACAGAAACTTAAGCGTCCATTAGAAGCGTACGAGAAGCAAATGATCCTGTGGCCAAAGTCATGTATTATGTGTTATCAACAGACTGAACTGCAAACTTGCCAAAGATGCTTCTCCACTAACTATTGCGTCGCACATGCGCAAGCCGTTACCAGCAAACATAATGATGACAAGTGCGAGCGATTAGTACGATTGCTCAACATAGATATCGAAACTGTTTCCGGTAGAACAATTGACATATCATACAGCTTTCTTATATCTGTTAATCAGAGGAGTTATTTCGAAGAGATGCTTGAATTTTGTATGAACTATGTACTAATGTCAAGGAACGATGTAGATTGGCTCGCCAAAGACTACGTTCTGTCTGATTACCTTTCAGGACCGTTGACTATCTATTTTGGGACTTCGAGATTTGAATTATTAAATTTTATCTTGGAGAAGTGCACAGTTATCCATGTTCTAGCAGCAAATTCCGCGGATAGAAATGGTCTACCAGCTTGGGAAGTTTTGTTGCACCTTCTGCCAGTAATTACAAAATTAGTGATTATTATGGTAGGACCGGAATTAATATACGAATCTAACAAGCAAATACTTTGTGAACTATGCACAGATAGGAACAGGGAGTTCGTTTTCTTTTCATTTCCTATGTTATACTGCGAATTTTTACAATCACCTGGTAATTATAGGGAACCAAATATAGTTGTAGTGTTTCATCCCGATATTACGGAGATTACACAGATAGAATTATTAGAAGAAATACAAGGATTGCTCTGCCCGTTTTTTCTAAGTTTTTCTTCCGAACAGAAGGCTCAAGAAAACATAAGAATGATACAAAAGAGCTTAAACACAGGTATAAATCCTATTTTTAATGGCAGGAATTATTTCGCAGGCCTTGCGCCACACAGAGACATTGATACTGGTAATACATATTTTCGAAATGAACATATAATTATTTACGAAGATTTAGGTGACTCTGTCAAATGAGAACCCATTACTAATTTTGGCGCTATTAATTTATTACGATTGTGCACTTCTTTTAAGAATATTATATTGTAAATACGTACACTTTATATTGTTATTATATAAATAAACTCACTTATCACTTTTCAGTATTATTTGAATATATTCACGATGTAACAATGATTGGACAATGAATTAAAATTGGACAATGAATTAATTTTGCATGAGGAGGAGAATGATATGTCGAATATTATTAAAAATAATTGTGGTTAAGTCCAAAATACTCTTTACTTAGGATTAATAATCGTTATATTTCTCCATAATATCTTTTGTACAATAATAACGTGCACTTTGATAATTAATTTATTTAATTTTCAAAACATAATGCTTTTATTATGTTAACAAATGAATATACAAGTTTTTTATATTTTTTACGTATATATATTCCACTATATGTTTTAATTTTATTGAAATATTCAAAATGAAAAATTAAATTCTCTCTCCCTTTATCTCTTTCTCAGTTTCAAATTGACAACAGAAATTTGCCGAAATATATACATACTACTATTGTCTTTAGTGGAGTTGAAGTGTGGACATTCGTACTGAAAATTATTTTATTTTCTAAACATAACATACACAACATTTTAAAATTACAAATCATGTATATGTTCCTCCGTGTGTTTAAAGTTTATTCGCATATGCCATCTAAGAAAGCAATATTTATAGTTCCTCTTACTTCTAGTTATATTTCAACAGTTTGACAACTGTTTGACAACATTAACAACATCTCGAGATTTGTAGAAACAGATACAAACTTTAGTGTTTTTATCATTGTTCTTTGTACAGTCGCTGTGTGCATTTGCGTTGAGAACTTGTATTAAGAATTTAATTTTTATCGTTCATATGTACGAAGTTTGTATTATTTCACAAGTGATATTGTTGATAAAATATTTGGGAACGTCGTTAAATAGACATATTAGTATGAGCAACCCGAACCAACAACTCTTTCAATATCGCGGACCACGTACGGCTGAATATTACAATTGTTTCTTCAATCCAAATATATGTCACGTTTGCAAATGTGTAGACAATTTGATATCATGCGATCGATGCTGCTTGATTTCTTACTGCAGCAATGTGCATAAAACCAAGCACCACAAGGAACACGAGGAAATCTGCATTATTATAACTCAGGTTTCGAATGTGACGTCACAAGAGGATATGCGCCGGCAACAGTTCAGTAACTGGCAGCAGTGGATTCGATCAAGAAATGAATTTATGGAAGCAATCCAAAAGAAATTGAAACGTCCAATGGAAGTTTACGAACAGCAAATGATATTGTGGTCAAAGACCTGTGTTGTGTGCCATCAGCAGACTGAGCTGAAAACCTGTCAAAGATGCTTTTCCGCCAACCACTGCGATCAGCATGCGGAAAGTTTTCCCAAGAAACATAATGACGCCAAATGCGATCAATTAATGCTGTTACTCAATATAGATATCGAAAACATCTCTGGTAATACACAGAATATGAGTTACGATTTTCTACCGTCTGTAAACACAAAGGGACATTATGTGGAAATGCTCGAATTTTGTATGGAATATATTCTAAGTCCGAGAACAGAAGCGGATTGGCTTGCAAAGGATTACGTTCAATCTGATTACCTTTCAGGACCGCTGACAGTATATTGTGGGCTAGAAAAACTAAAATCATTAGGTCTTATACGAAATAGTCAAGTTATTATTCATGTTATAGCTGCAGACTCGGTGGACAGAAGAAGTATACCGGCTTGGGAAATTTTGTTCCACCTTACAATCGAAATGAAGTGTCTAATAATTATCTTGGTGGGGCCGGAAATGAAGAACGAGAACGATATATTTAGTCTTTGTGAACATTGCCGGAGAATGAGAAATGTGCTTTCCATCTATTCAATTCCTATGATGTACCACGAGTTTATGCAATCGCCCATGGAATATAAAGAACCAAGAATAATTGTAGGATTTCATGCCGAAATTAATATAGGGGACACATGGTCGGAATCTATAAAGGCAATACAGAATCAAGGTTGCCCAGTAATTTTAAGCTCTACATGTAAAAATCAGGCACGAAATGAGATAATTAAGATACAAGAAACCCTGAATATAATTAAAGAACCTTATTTCAATGGCAAAAATTATTTCGCTGGTCTTGTACCGCACAAAAACCCAAACACTGGAGATATATATTTCCGTAATGAACATTTAATATTTTATGATGATTTACTTACTTACGAAGGTAACGAATCATCTAATAGCAGCTCTTAAAATAAACGATCGTTTCAGTATTGTCGTAAACAAAATATACATAGATTGTTATTATGAGTAAAATATGAAAATTTATAATAAAAATTACCCTCCTTTGTTGGCATTTAACACATTACACACGTTTCTTATTGGTCAAATATTGATAAAATATAATCGTAAATGTGACGGTTGAATAGTCATGATATATTTTATTATAAAGTTTCTCACAATTAATAAAACAACGCTTTTACGCAGATACAGAGCTGCAAACTAAAGAGAAAATTACTGTACGATTCTTCAAACTTCGGGATAGTTACTAAATTAAGAAACATGAAAAATCATTAAATAATTACATGCGTTGGCGTAATATAACCATGTCGACATACTTTCTGACATCCTACATCATTCGTCGATGCAAGAAGATTATGTCACGAGTTGGTGATTTTTGCAGATATTTTTCAATTAATTTTTCAATAATTATTTCGAAACTTGTGAAATAGTAGATACCTTTTTATTTCATTAAATGAGATTCACGTGCCCACGAGCGTTGCGTCCATGGAAAATTGTAGAAATACATTGGCTACATAATAATTGGTATATATTACATTTTTTTGTAGTATGAGTTATAGTGAACCATGTCATGTGAATCCTTCCAATACAGTTTTATCTATACACTAAACATCATAAGTGGTTTAATATTTACAGACACAGGCGCTATAGGAATTCGTATTCACACGTATTATATGTAAATATTTGTGTATATACGTGTGTATATATTATATATATGTATATATCTGTACATCCTTATTATTATTACATAGTAACATTGTGGTATAGTGGAAAAAAAGAAATCCTAATAACACATCCAGTATTATTAAAAATATATGGTGTTTATGAAATGAAGAAGAAAAATTTGTGAGAAATTTAACATTTGATATAATATATCGTTCAATATTATAAAAATTGTTGTTCTCATTACTATATTATTACGCTACAACCTCATATCGGTCGGTAAATGGTAACATGTATTCATTTCTTGAGTCGTAAAAATTTCTTCCTTCAATTTTTCTACGTTTAAGCTGGAAATATTTCTTCTGATGTTAATAATAGTTAAACAATTCCAAAACAACTTTTCCAGAAATTACTGTGCAATTGATAATTGATAATTTAATTAATTTTATTTCCTAAATTAAAAATTTGTAGCGTTCCGAGAAAAACATATCGATGTACACAGTGCTATATATCCATTACACCTTTTTTTATATGTATACAATATGATATTTTCTATTTGATGACAGCCATTTGTAGCTTTATACGACCTTTGTCACAATTCAAATTGACGACGGTTCGCAAGAGACTCGCCGAAGCACACATAAACACGTTATTACTTTTCCTCGTACAGTCGCCGCGCGAATATCTGATACTAATAATTTGCATAACAAGATTTATTTCTATTATTCGTATGCCAAGTTTCCGAACATTATTTCACAAATTATATTACTGATAAAGTACACGAGAAATTCAATAAGTAGGCATATCGACATGAGTAATTTACACATGCAAGTCTGGAAACCTCGTGTATTACGCATCAAGAAATATTACAATGAGTTCTTCAATCCAAACATTTGTCATGTCTGCAAATCGGTGAACATTGACTATTCGATATCATGCAATAAGTGTCGTTTGGTTTTTTATTGCACAAAAGCACACAAAAATCTTCACCAACTGCTCCATATGGATATCTGCAGGATTATTACACATGTTTCGCAAGTGGATCAAGATAGGCGTAGATTTAGCAACAGGCAAGAATGGATCCAGTCGAGAAAAGAATTGTTGGAATTAGTCAAACTCAATCTTTGCCGGCCATTGGAGACGTACGAGTTGCAAATAATCCTGTGGTCGAAATCGTGTATTGTTTGTCACCAACAGGCTAAACTACACACTTGCCAGAAGTGCTTCTCCGCTAATTATTGCGATGATCATGCAACAGATTTTGGCGTGAAACATGACGAAAGAAAGTGCGAACATCTGACGATTTTATTAGATATATATACCAAAACTGTAACCGTTAATAAAAATGAGATAAAATACGAATTTTTTGAACATATTACTATAAATAATAGTTGTGAAGAGATGTACAAATTTTGCACAGAATTTATATTGATACAAAGAGGAAATGTGAATTTGATTGCTCAGGACTACGTCATGTCTGATTATCTTTCAGGACCACTCACCGTCTATTCTGGATTAAAGAGAATAAATGTGTTAAGTAAAGGAAGGAGTTTGAGGAAATTAAATCTGCTAGAAAATTCTGTCGTTATTCATATTATAGCCGCAAATTCTTTGGACAGAAACGGTCTGGAAGCTTGGGAAATTTTGTTACATCTCTTGCCTGATGTACAAGAATTAGTGATCATTATGATAGGTCCAGAATTATCGTACGATATGAAAACATGTGATCTTTGTAATCGATGCAAGGAACAGAAGACGCTCTCCTTTTTTTCTATTCCTTTGTTGTACCACAAGTACGTAAAAATGTATGAGGGTAAGAGAGATCCCGATGTGATTGTAGGATTTCATGTCGAATTAAATGAGGGGGATATATGGTCGGAATCTTTAAGAGCAATACAAACTCGTTTCCGTCCGCTAATTTTGGGCTCTTCATGCGAGAGAGAAGCTCAGAAAAATATAAGTAAAATAAAAAAAGTTGTAGGTTCAAGTATAAATCCTATTTTTAATGGATGTAATCATTTCGCTGGTCTTGTACCGCACAGAGATTTAGAAACTGACGATATATATTTCCGTAATGAACATTTGATTATTTATGATAAATTATATTATTCGGAATAGGACTAGTTTTTGTCTGTACAACTTCATGCCATTATAAATCTTTCCTTTAATGGATTATTGTCAACGAGATATACTGAATTATTTTATCTTAGTGTTCTAATTATTTTTATTATTTTTATCACTCTAACAGTTTTTTCGGATCTATTGTTTAAACTATAAGCGTTTTTATCAAGTATGTACTTTTTAACGGCAGCTACAATGTTCCTCAAAGTTCTACTGTAGTTTTAGGAGTGAAAGTTGAAAGATAATGGTTCATTTTATTAATTATATAACAATTACGACACACGACGATCACAACATTCGGATGCGATGTATTTTGAAGGAGGAGAAGGAATGTGATGATGAATTGCAGTCGTGGCACTCGTGGAAAGGTTGGACATATCAAACTGAGAAGGAAGTCCTGTAATCACTTTGTAATTTTCACAATAATTATTGAACCATGAAGTTAAAAATATTAGAAAATGAGTGTACGTGAAGCGACGATAGGACGAGTAGGCATTCGTTCTAATTCGGGTCGCGAAATTGTTAACAATTTACCCGCAATAGCGGATTATGTGTTATACGATAACATGGTGATTAGGATCTATTTTGTTATTTAATTTACTTTTATTCTAAACAATATTTATTATTTCTCTTAGTGGTTAAAGCTTATTTGCGACATTTTATTTGGAATCTGATATTTGTACTTTCTTACATCACCAAATACATTTCAATCATTTCAACAACACTCCTCGATATCTACACAAACCACATAAACATCTTTCCGAGTAGATATTGAATCTAGCAATTATTTAGTTATGACATAGAAGAGTTGGGTTTTCCATTGCTATTAGCTAGTTGTACTAGCTAATAGAACTTAATATAGGGGACACATGGTCGGAATCTATAAGGGCAATACAGAATCAAGATTGCTCATTAATTTTAAGCTTTACATGTCAACAACAGGCGCGAAATAACATAATTAAGATACAAGATACCCTGAGTATAATTAAAGAATCTTATTTCAATGGCAAATATCATTTCGCTGGTCTTGCACTGCATAAAGACCCAAACACTGGAGATACGTATTTCCGTAATAAACATTTAATATTTTATTATGATTTACTTTATTACGAAGATAACGGACCAAATAATAGCAGCTTTTAAATTAAATGATCGTTTCAGTATTGTCGTAAACAAAATATACATAGATTATTATTATGAGTAAAATATGAATATTTATAATAAATATTACACTTCTTTGTTGGCATTTACACACATTGTTTCTTATTGATTAAATATTGATAAAATATAATTGTAGATGTGACGGTTGAATAGTCATGATATACTTTATTATAAAGTTTCTCACAATTAATAAAACAATGCTTCTACGCAGATACATAGCTGCAAACTAAAGAGAAAATTACTGTACGATTCTTCAAACTTCGCGATAGTTACTAAATTAAGAAACATGAAAAATCATTAAATAATTACGTGCGTTGGCGTAATATAACCATATCGACATACTTTCTGATGTCTTACATCATTCGTCGATGCAAGAAGATTATGGCACGAGTTGGTAATTTTTGCAGTTAATTTTCCAATAATTATCTCGAAATTTACGAGATAATAGATACCTTTCTATTTAATTAAGTGAGATTTACCTGCCCACGAGCGTTGTGTTACTGTAAAATTGTAGAAATACATTAGCTATATAATAATTGATATATATTACATTTTCTTGTAGTATGAGTCATAGTGAACCATGTCATGGGGATCCTTTCGATATACTTTAATCTATACACTAAACGTCATAAGTGGTTTAACATTTGCCGACACAAGCGCTATAAGAATTTGTATTCAAATGTATCATATGTAAATATTTGTGTATATACGTGTGTACATATTATATGTATATATATATATATGTATTTATTTGTACATCCTTATTATTATTACATAGTTAAATTGTAGTATGGTGGAAGAAAAGGAATTCTATTAACACATCAAGTATTATTAAGAATATATGGTGTTTATGAAATGAAGAAGAAAAATTTGTGCAAAATTTAACATTTGATATGTCGTTCAATATTCTAAATATTGTTGTTCTTATTGCTGCATTATTACGCTACAACTTCATATCGGTCGGTAATTTGTAACATGTATTCATTTCTTGAGCCGTAAAAATTTCTTCCTTCAAATTTTTTACGTTTAAGCTGGAAATATTTCTTTTGATGATAATAATAGTAAAACAATTCCAAAACAACTTTTCCAGAAATTATTTTGCAATTGATAATTGATAATTTAATTAATTTTATTTTTTAAATTAAAAATTTGTAGCGTTCCTAGAGAAACATATCGATGTACACAGTGCTATATATCCGTTACACCTTTTTTTTATATGTTTACTATTTATTCAATATTTTCTATTTGAAGACAGCTATTTGTACCTTTACACGACCTTTGTTACAATTCAAATTGACGACGGTTCGCAAGAGACTCGCCGAAGCACACATAAACACGTTATTACTTTTCCTCGTACAGTCGCCGCGCGAATATCTGATACTAATAATTTGCATAACAAGTTTTATTTCTATCATTCGCATGCCAAGTTTCCGTACATTATTTCACAAATTATATTACTGATAAAGTACACGAGAAATTCAATAAGTAGGCATATCGACATGAGTAATTTACACATGCAAGTCTTGGAACCTCGTGTATCACACGTCAAGAAATATTACAATCACTTCTTCAATCCAAACATTTGTCACGTCTGCAAATCGGTGAACATGGACAATTCGATATCGTGCGAGAAGTGTCGTTTGGTTTTTTATTGCACCAAAGAACACAAAAATCTTCACAAAAGCCACCATATGGATATCTGCAGGATTATTGCACATGTTTCGCAAGTGGATCAAAATAGGCGTAGATTTAGCAACAGGCAAGAATGGATACAGTCGAGAAAAGAATTGTTGGAATTAATCAAACACAATCTTCGCCGGCCGTTGGAGACGTACGAGTTGCAAATGATCCTGTGGTCGAAATCGTGTATTGCTTGTCACCAACAGGCTGAATTGCACACTTGCCAGAAGTGCTTCTCCGCTAATTATTGCGATGATCATGCAACAGCTTTCGGCGTGAAACATGACGAAAGAAAGTGCGAACATCTGACGATTTTATTCGATATATATACCAAAACTATGACCGTTAATAAAAATAAGATAAAATACGAATTTTTTGAACATATTACTGAACAGAATAGTTGTGATGATATGTACAAATTTTGCACACAATTTATATTGATGCAAAGAGGAAATGTGAATTTGATTGCTCAGGACTACGTCAAGTCTGATTATCTTTCAGGACCACTCACCGTCTATTCTGGATTAAAGAGAATAAATGTGTTAAGTATTCTGCAAGGAAATTCTGTCGTTATTCATATTATAGCCGCAAATTCTGTGGACAGAAACGGTCTAGAAGCTTGGGAAATTTTGTTACATCTTTTGCCTGATGTACAAGAATTAGTGATCATTATGATAGGTCCAGAATTATCGTACGATATGAAAACATGTCAACTTTGTGAACAATGCAAGAGAAAGAAAACATTCGACTTTTTTTCTATTCCTATGTTGTACCACAATTACGTAAAAATGTTTGAGGGTAAGAGAGATCCCGATGTGATTGTAGGATTTCATGTCGAATTAAATGAAGGGAATACATGGTCGGAATCTTTAAGAGCAATACAAACTCGTTTCCGTCCGCTAATTTTGGGCTCTTCGTGCAAGAGAGAAGCTCACAAAGACATAAATAAGATTAAAAATGTTATAGGTACAAGTATAAATCCTATTTTTAATGGATGTAATCATTTCGCTGGTCTTGTACCGCACATGAATTTAGAAACTGGCGATATATATTTCCGCAATGAACATTTGATTATTTATGATAAATTATATTAGTCGGACTAGGACTAATTTTTGTGTATACAACTTCATGCGATCAGAATCTTTCCTTTAATGGATTATTGTATACGAGATATGTTGAATTATTTCATCTTAGTGTCCTTATTGTTTTTATTGTTCTTATCGCTCTAATTGTTTTATCGTATCTATTGTTTAATCTATAAGCGTCTTTAATCAAGTATGTATTTTTTAACGGCAGCTGCATTGTTTCTCAAGTTCTACCGTAGTTTTAGGCGTGAAGGTTGAAAGATAATGGTTCATTTTATTAATTATATATCAATTACAACATACGACGATCGCAACGTTCGGATGCGAAGTATTTTGAAGGAGGAGAAGGAATATGATGATAAATTGTAGACGTGACACTCGCGCAAAGGTAGAACATCATACTGACAAGGTAGTCCTGTATCAATCTGTGATTTTCACAAAAGTCATTGAACAATCAACTCAAAAATATTAGGAAATTAGTACGCGTTAAGCGGTAGGACGTGTAGGCATTCCTTCTCATTCAAGTCGCGAATTTGTTAACAATTTTTTCGCAACGGTGGACTATGTGTGATATTTATTATATCACGATGTGTGATATTTATTATATTATATATATTATATCATGATGGTTTGCAATTCAACATCATGGATATCTGTCACTGCCAAAAGACCATCATCAAATTCGAGACATCATGCATGCGAATTTGCATTCTACAATTATCTTATATATATACTCATTCATTGAAATTTTTTACTTCACTTCCTAAAACTATCGCAAAATGATATAAGACTTTTTCGTTCAATGTGATAGACTCTTTCTTTACACTAATAATATGTCATTAATTGTTAGACATCTTGCGGAGTAAAATTAAAATGATAAACTGCATCTTTTACAACACGAATTGTTGAGCCATGTCATTCATCACGTGCCCTAGACGCCATAAATATATATAATTTAATATTTACCGAACTCAAGCTTATCTGCATGATTTGTACGATTACGTCTATCATTAATGTTAATTCCGCGCTTGGAAACAATACTTCTAATATAATTTGGAATATACGCCATTTGTGAAGTGAGATGAAATCAAATATAAAAGAAGGTACATTTTAAGTACCGTTCAATATCTTGACAAACGTATTATCTAATAATTAGACAGTTCTGACATCTGATTTCGAGATTTAGGATTTATAATACGTTACTGTTAAACAATTACTAGGCAGAGTTTGATATTGTAATATAACCATAATTTCGATTTGCGGACTAATATATTCCTCCTAGCGGCGAGATAGTAGCTAGACTGTATATTTTAGAAAAAACGGCCCCATCATAATTCTAGTCTTAAATGTAACATTAGAATTTGTTTGCGGAAGCCGACTTGTTAAGCATGACAAAGAAATAAAAATCACCGGGCAATATTTAGAAGTGCTGGATTTCTTTGTAGCGCGTGTTTGGAAGTGCGTCATCATCTTGGAATGTAAATACGCGTTATCGGGACACGTTAGCAGCCGTAATGTTCGTGTCACGGCACAAGGCGGACTAACTAACCTCTGAAATATAGCTCTAGGAGGAGGAGGAAATTCTTCCTTGGCAATATAAAAAAAGCGCGACACGTTAAGAAGCACGGTAATGAACAAAACACGCAAACACGACGAAAACTTGTATGCATGGGCTCAGATGATTCATTTGTGCAACGCAGTTTTTTTCTGACCGGCAACCATAACATGATTTACAATGACATGCGTGCCGGTTTCATGTGTATGTATGTGTGTAGACTATTTATTATTTATTTATTCGTTTTTATAATAAAAAGAAAAAGAAAGAGAGAGAGAGAGAGAGAGAGAGAGAGAGAGACGTTTCTGTTTTATATATATATTTGGAAATGTATGATAAACGATTAATATATAATATGTATAATAATTTGTAAACGATTCCGATAACGAGAAATAAATTTACAATTTATTTTTTTACATTAACTCTTCTTCGATATTGTTAATTCGAAAACAATTCCATATTAGCGAAAGTTTAAGCGACGTTTCAATCTCTCTCTTTCTCTTTCTCTCTCTCTTTCTCTCTATCTATCTATCTATCTGTCTTGTGCTGTATCCAATATCCTTGAAGAGATACAAGCTATCATTATTTTCCACAAGCGGATGAACGAACACTATTGTCAGGGAGAGAAATATAATGCTGAAGTGAACGTGCTACGTCACAGTAACAAGCGGAATCCTAAGCAGCAAGGTTTGCAATAAAGCGAGTAGGTTCTCCGAGCACTACCGGCAGGATTTTATTTATCGGAGGTTGTATTGCAAGATACAAGGATCTCGCCGAGCGGAACTTTGACCGGAGTACCGATCTCTCGGATCATATCCTGTCATAATTTGAGATCTATTAAAGGAACGAAAGTTAGGTCTAATTTCGCGTTTTGTTGACGGATTAGTTGAGAGGACCGATCGTTACTCCCAAGAAGAAAGTTGCAGGTTAAGTTAACTCAATAACATTATTAAGCTTACGAGATCTACACATATTTTCTTTCGCTTAATCTCTTCTATGTGCAAAACGCTATTCTTCTATTTCTCTATTATCCAGAAAACAAGTTGGATCCATGTGATCACTGATATTATCAGCCTGATCCAATGAGATAATTGGATTTCTAATGACCAGTCAGTAGAGACAATAAATGAAAATTGATAATAAACTTAATAATTTATAAAAGACAAAAAAATGCAAAAAATCACGATTTTTACGACTTTTTCGCGGTATTTGAGAGAATTATAATGTTATTTCAGCATCAAAATCACGAATGTTACTCTCAGGGTTAATAACCATATAACCAACATAATACACGTCACATATCGATTATGATCAAATTAATAATATTGTCTTCATTATAAGAGCCATTTATTCTTAGAAAACGAATGCAACGAGTACGAGCAGAAACAATGTTCTTTAAAAAGTTGGAAATGCTTAAAACGTTTAATTCTTTGAAACGTTTAATTGCAAATACATAATATCGTACTTGTCAGGGTAATTAACAGAAACCTGAAGAATCGCGAGTCAAGGTACGAGAGATCAGTCAAATTCAATTATGATTAGCGGACGCGTCAAAGAACGCAAAGTTCGCAAATTTCGACCGGCTAATTCGGGAACGCGTTTTACACGTTGCATGGAAGTTACAACTCAACGTCGAAAATAATTGCCGCTCTCTGCCGCGGAAAAAGGGCAGAAGCGTTAATCCCTCTGGGTAGAGAGTAAAGGATGGGAATGTCGGGAACGCGGGTCGCGTTAACAAGCGGCGCGCAAGATTCACGACGAAACAATCCCCGCGGTAACCGCGATGCGACTTATTTATCGAAAGGCTCAGGGCGGTCGCGCGCGAAGATTTAGCGAGGCGTGCCGCCGCTAATCAATCTCCCGTTGGCGTTGTCTTTGATCTGTTAAAATAGCTGCCGCGCGCTCGCGCGCTGTCGTCGGGATTTAGCGCAGCTCGCGCGAGGTCGAGGAGGATCCGGTCGATTAAATCCGAGCCGGAAAAAGGAAAGAAAGAGAGTGAAAGGAATGACGGGAAAGCGAGAAAGCGAATGTGGCAGAGAGAGAGAGAGAGAGAGGAGAGGGTAGTCCGGAGAGGATGGAATAAAACTGCATAGAAAGAACTTATTTGCAACCGAGTCCACGAGAAGACTCGTGCCGAAAACTCAGTTCTCACGTAAGAATAGAAACGCTAATAATTAATATAATTTCGGATTTCATAACGATGAATATTTGTCCAATGAAAACAACAGCAATGATCATATACGAGTGAGATCATTACAAAAAAATAAGAAGTAGGAATGATGAGTATAAGAATAAAATATAACAAAAAATAATAGGATAAAGAGTACTTAAAAGAGGGGAGGGGGAGAGAAGAGAGAATTTCAAATAGTCCGGAGAGAAAGACTATATATAAGTCTAAGGATTAAGAGTTGACGAGACAACGTTCAGACGGTTATTAAAGACGAGTCTCGATATTCCCGTAATTATTTGGACTGCACAATCTACTTCTGTACGATATTTCGCTTGATTCCTTCTATGGGACGCTCCATTTTCTTTTATTTTTTGAGACGGAGGACGAATTGAAAGAGAGTGGAAACACTAATGAGATTGACGAGGGATCAGACTGATTGCATCGTTACGAGAAATACTGGGAATTGCAGTATTCTTGTCAAGATCTTCAGAATTCAACCATGTGCATCCTAAATGTTAATCCGTCAATATTATATAATTATGATATTATTTTTGTGAGAACTAAAATTCTGTCTTCTGTTGAATCATTTAACTTATTATAGTATGGCATTTTTTCAATTAATATCACATACTATACGTTCATGAATAATATAAATGACGTTTATGATAATCCAATTAATCATTTCCATTGTTATATATTATCTTTGAGAAAAACAATAAGGGAAGAAAGAGAGAGAGAGAGAGAGAGAGAGAGAAAGAGACGTGTTCCTATTGAAAATATATATAAATCCATAATATATAATTATAAGAATAAAAAATTCGTAAACATATGAAACGTATTGAACATTTTTAATAATAATAATGTCTCTCTCCTTCTCACTTATAATAGAAAACTCAACGTCTCGTACGCGTAATTTGCACATAAGCTACTTATCTTTCTCTCGCAACACAAAACAAATCCGCCTTTCCTTCACCCCCGTCGTTTCCAAAAACCGATTCGAAGAACTGCCGTACTCGGGTCGTGCGATCGAAATCCAATTTCTTCCTTCTCGCGTGAAGAGCGCTTCCAGCTGTTACATGGAGCTTTTTGCCCGGCTCCTCGTGGACAACCTCCACCTTCTCCTCTGTAACTTAACCTGAAACCCTCTGGCCTCGTCAAGATCTAAAAAGCCGAAGGGACACCGCCGGAGAGGAGGTGAGTCATAGGACAAAGCCTGTACAGGGTGAGACGAAAGCCGCGAAGATGAGAAAGAAAAGACAGGCCAGAGTGGAACGGGTGAAGCAC